CAGCCCACATGGCTGCCACTCACTGAGGCTTCTCTAGATTTCTGTCCATGTCGTGCCAGGAAGACAGTTCCCCCCACGTCCTGCGACATCAGCCGAGGGGCCTCCACCCGGGACTCCGTGGTCAGGAGGCTGCGTTGCAGCCTGGCCAGTTGGTGGCTCTTGTTCCCTCCTGCCAGCACTGTCCCCACACTGAGGGGACTCGCGGGTCGCCTCAGAGCTCAGTGTTGCTTTCTGGTCCTCAGAAACTATGTGCTTCCGTTTCTCAGATGAGGAAACAGCCCCAGCATGGGGGGTACTGATGGTTCCTGAGCATCTCCCTTGGGTGGCCTTTAGGTCCGGCCCTGGATGGTGGTTGCTGTCCAGAGCCGCTGGGGCATCCTGCTGGGCTGGTCCTGCCCTGCCTTTCTCAGCTGGGCTGGTCCTGCCCTGCCTTTCTCAGCTGTCCTACCCCCAGCATCTCCTAGATCCGTGTGTGCTTGAACCTCAGGTCGCCCACAACTTGGCTACTGTGTCAGCTTCCTGGCTGACCTTGTGTCTTCTGGGAGCTGGTACCCCATGCTGGACTGACCCCTCAGGAGGAGTCAGCCTGGGCTGTGGGTCCCTGGATGTGGCGTCCACAAGAGTGTCCTCCCCTTCCCCCAGTAGGGGGCGCACCCACACATCTCTAGCACCACCTTCCTTTCAGCCATCTCCTCTCCCAGCTGGCCAGCCTGGGGAGGGCCCTGTGGACGTGTCTTCCACTTGCTGGGCCTCAGTTTCCCCATCTATACAGGAGTCAGGGCTATGTGGTTTTCAAGTTCATGAGGTCGGGAGGTGCAGGCTGCTTGTTGGATTTTTCCAACGGGAAAATGGGGTGCCTTTTGCAAGTGGATGAAGCTGACCCATTGAAAGCAGACAGCCTGGGGAACTGCAGGCCCATGGCCTCTGCCCCGAGCCCACCCTGGGACCAGGCCTCTCCCTCATCGACCTTTGGGGGACACTTCCCAAAGCCTGTGTGCCCTACTCAAGCCAGGTGCGCCTTCCTGGGCACACACCTGCTGCCAGCTGTCCCCAGCATTTCCCTGGCTGCTAGTGGAACTCGAATGCAGGAAAATTTGAAGATATCTTTGACTTTTATGGCCCTTTTTCCCCTATTAAAATGCTTAGAGCTGTAAACGTAGTCATCTGTAGCTCATTTATCCTGACAAAAGTGTGGCTATAAAATATCCGGTGCTCATGAAATAGCCTCTGAGATGATTGTTGCTGCTGTATCGATAAATTCCAGCGTGCAGCAGAAAGGTCAGCTCTTGCCAAATAAAATGTCTCTTTCGCTCGTTAATGAGAGGTTTATAAGGATGTAGAAGAACACACTTGGGGGCCAGGCTTGGAGCAAGAGAAGCAGAGAGGGGAGCACACCAGGGTGTTCGGGGAGGAAACCTCCACCCTCAGACACAGGACTAAGAGAAGCGCTTTGGTGTGCACCTCTCAGTGAGCAGCGACCATGGTGCCTCTGGCCATGGGCCTGGTAGGAACAAACTCCTCCTTTGCTAGGACGTGGTTGAGCGGGACCCTGTGCTCGAAGGTGCCCCGCCTTGATGCCCTTTTGCAGCTGACTACGCTTGGCTCCTGTGATGTGACACGGCTGCTGGGGACACTGGTTGCCTGCAGCTGTGGTAAAACATTCATTGCCAGGTCTCTGTGTGGCCCTTGAGAGCCCCGGGGGATGGAATTGGCTCGATCGTATGCCAGACACAGTTCAGGCTGCTGTAACAAAAACCCCCATGACTGGGCAGTTTAAATAGCAGACATTCATCTCCCCCGGTTCCGAAGCCTTGGAGGTGCAAATCAAAATGCTAGGCGACTCACTGCCAGGCCAGGGCCCCACCTTTCCATGTCCTGGTGTGGCAGACAGGAATAAAGGAGAAGGAAGCGGGCTCTCTCCTTGGAAGAACACTGAAAGAGCTCACCAGCCACCTTCGTGACCTCCAGAGGCCCCAGCTCCAAATCCCCTCCCGCGGGGACTGGGGTTTCAGCACCTGAAAGGAGAGGGCACCTATACTCAGTCCGCAGCGGTACATGCGTGACTTTCCGAGGCGATTGTACCCTTTTGTACTCCCAGCAACAGTGAAGCATAGAGTGTTCCCGTTGTTCTGCATCCTGGACAGCTCTTGATTTGGTCGTCTTAGCCATCAGAACAGGTGTGTAGGAGTATCTTGCTGTGGTCATTAAATTGCAGTTCAATTATGGAAGTGAAATTGCATTTCTTTAATAGTGCTCTGTGTCTTCGTCTGCTTATTTGCCATACGTCTATCTTTTGTAGTGAAGTAGCTACTCAGATCTACTCTTCCTTTTTTAAACGGGTTGTTTGTTTTCATACCGTTGCATTGCCAGAGTTTTTTCTTTGCTCTGGTCAGGTGATCTCCATGTGATCTTTTCCCATGAATGTGGCTTGGATTTACATTCTCCTAAAGCTGCTTTCTCACCTTCAGGAGGAAATGTTTTTGAAGTTTATTTATGGAAATATTAAATTTTGTTCAAATTGGCTGGGTGTGGTGGTGCATGCCTGTAATCCCAGCACTCGGGAGGCAGGAGGATTGCTGTGAGTTTGAGACCAGCCTGGGCTACATAGTGAGTTCCAGGTCAGTCTCAACTACATCGTGAGACCCTGTCTCAAAAAAAATTTTTTTTGTTCAAATTTATTTATTTGTTCCTGTACAAATTCTGCTTTTGTTATTGTTATTGTGTCTAAGCCAAGTCTAAAAAAAGTTCTTCTAGGGCTGGAGATTTTTTAGCTCAGTGATGCCACTGTCTGCCTCGCAAGTGCAAGATCCCGAGTTCAATCCCCAGTACAAAAAAAAAATTTTTTTTTATCCTACATTTTCCTCTAGAAATGTTTTAATTTTAGTCTTTACCTTTAGGACTCTAAGTCAGCTTTTTTTGTTTGGTTTGGTTTGGTTTGGTACCGGGGATTGAACTCAGGACCTTGAAAGGCAGGAAACAGGACCACTGGGCTAAATCCCCTGCTCTTGTTTTGTTATTTTTAAAAATGTGGTTGGTGGTGTGGATTGAAATTCTGTTTTGCTCATAGTATATGGATATCTCCTTCTTCTAACACCATTTATGAAGACATTGCCCTTTTCCCGTAAAATTGTCTTTTTAACCTTTGCACAAAGTTCATTGACTATGTGAGTCTAGTTTGGACTCCGTTGGTCAGGGGATATATTTGTACATCTTAACGCCAAGTCCACGCCATCTCAATTACTACAGCTTCACGGTAGGACCCAGAGTCAGATAGCGACTTCCGGTTTTGTTTGTATTTATTTCAGAGTTGTGTTGGTTATTCTAGGCTCCTTCTAATTCAATGTGTAATTTTAAATAATGTTATTGATTTCCACAAGAAAACAAAAGGCCTGCTGAGATTTTGATTGAGGTTGGGCTGAATCTCTAGATCCACCTGGGGAGAACGGACACCTTCACGTTGCGCCTGCTTCTCCATGGTTATGGTATATCTTCCTGTGCTTGGGTCTTTTACGTTCTCTCTCAGTGGTATTTGGAAGTTTTCAGTGTACGGGTCTTACACAGCTACTGTTCAGATTTGTCCCTACATGTTTCTTACTATTATTTTTAATGCCACTATCAATGGGATTTAGACATTTTTGTTTTGTTTTTGTTTTGGGTGCCAGGGATTGAACTCGGGACCTTGTGCTTGCGAGGCAGGCAGTGGAACCACCGAGCCAAATTTAGACAGTTTTAAATTTCTAGATGTTGGTGGTCAGTGTCATATATTATTCTTATAGCCAGCAGCCTTGTTAAATTAAATTCGTGTATTGGTCTTAGTTTAGTTTGTTGTTTTGGTTTCCTTTCGCATCTACTGAGATAAGTGTGTGATTTTTCTCCTTCAATAATGTTCTTGCAGAAAGTTGCACTGACTGATTTTCGAGTGATGAAGCAGCCTTGTGTGCATGGGATATTGATTTGCTGACATTTCTGTTAAGAATGTTTGCATCTGAGTTTCAGAGAATCTTGCTGGTCGTTGGTCCTGGGTGAGAGGCACCTCTCCTCTGTATGCCCCAGGCTTGTAGGGTACAGAGCTGGCCCTTAGAATTCCTTCTCCATCGGAGCTGTGGGTAATGGTGGCTCCTATAGAAGGAGACTTCAGACAGATGAGCACCACAAACACTCTGTGGGCCTGGAGTCCTGGGGATTGTCCTCTCTTACCTCCCCACCCCAGTGTCCACCTGCTGCTGTTGGGATCATCCCATCATGCACTGGGGAGTCCTCCACGAGTGATGCTGGGAGCTGAAGGACACATCACAGTCGGGGCATGCCCCCGCCCCACGAGGGGGCCCGTGGGGTAAGTGTCCAGGCCCGAAAAGCACTCCCATAAATACTCTATCCCAGGGAAATATCCTGAGATGTGGCACTGGCTTTATCTGCAGAGATGTTGGTTGCAGCATTGTTTATTAACTAAAAGAGAATGGGCTAAAACTTCACACTCTATGGCAGCGAGAGAAAGTGTGCGTGTGTGTGTGTGAGATGATCTAGGAAGTACCATCATGCCTATCGAATTGAAGAGTCCATATCTAAGGGGTGATTGATGAAATTTATAGTCATGCTGGAAAATCTCACAGGTTCCTAAGTGAAAGTAGGAAAAAGGGTTACAGAACTCCATCTCACCACATAAGACCTTACCAGAGAAAGCTAGCGTGATGGTTTCTGGGTAATACCATTCTTTTTCTTTCTCCCCAACGTTTCTTGAATGAAGATAGGTTACTTTGTGGCTTATGAAAAGACTCATAAGAAAAGGATGACCATGCTGGGCATGGTAGCACATGTCTGTAACCCTAGCACTGGGAGGCTAGGGGATGTAACTCAGTGTGAAGTCCCTGGGTTCAATCCCTGCTACTGCAAAAAAAAAAAGAAAGAAAAGGAACAGAAAAGAAAGGGTGAGCTTTGCCTTCTCCTGGACGGGCTGCGTCTGCCCCGGCTGTGTGGGCTCAGTGCCCCTCTCTGTCTTGCAGGCTTTGGGAAGCATCACTGCAGTGCCTGTCACGGGTCCTCAGGTCAGCTCCTTGCAGAGGTTGGCCGGGCAAGGAGCGGCCGTGCTACCTCAGGTAAGCAGTATTGGGGTCCCCAGGGGCCCCATCTGTGTCCATGGTCTCGGTCCCTCCTCCAAACAGCACCTCCCTCTCCAGACTCCTGTGTGTTCACCAGAGGACACCTTTGCAGGTTTTACATGGGGAGAAATCTGGGTTTTCAAACAGTGAGGTCAGTTCATTGGCCGGAACCAGAATTTCTTTCTGAATGGACTAAGCGAGGCTGGACTGGACGGAAGAGCAGGCAGCTGGGCCCATTGTGAGCACCGTTTCTTGGACACTTTCTGTCCTGGGACAGAGGGTTGTATCTGTTTTTTACTCTGGGTCACAGTCCAGAGTGTTGAAGGAACTCAATGCAGTAACTCATTGCAGAAGACAGCACCGAGGTGCGGCCAGGTGCCTGGGTTCTGGGCCAGACTTCCCCATGGGCTCCATGCCTAGACAGGTTGCCTGGCTCCCGCCCTTCTGGGCCGGAGGCTCCTCTTGCAGAGGGGCTGATGCCGGTGCCTGTGTCATCCTTCAGCCTCGAGGCTGGCACAGAGCCACCAGGAACCAGGGCCAGCTCTGTGCCAGACACTGGACAGCGCTTACAGTCGTGGTGCCTGCTGCCCAGAGCTATGCCACACCACAGTGACCTGCCCGAGGCTTAGGGCCCTGCAGTGCTGGCCGGACCCCTCCCTCCCACGGGTCGTGGGAGACAGAACAAAGCAGTGCTCTGTGGCCATCACACAACGGCCAGGACCCCACCACGCAGCCTGTTTGTGGTGGGTGCCGGCCTCCTTATCATCTGTGAGGAGGTGGTGCTCGTGTAGACCTCTGGGCTTGGGGTCACCTCCCTTGTGGGTCTAGGTGTGTGCTGGGGTCTGCGGTGGCGGCGGCTGTAATGATAGGACGCTGGTAGCTGGCATTAGCTGGGCATCTGCTCACCTACCCCTAACCGCACCGGTGTACCGGTGAGGGACCTGGACCCAGGAACACGGAGGGGTCCCCACGGTCACACAGTCCCACGGGAGCTGGGACTGGGCCCAGGAGACCTGACTGGATCCCTGGCCTGGCCTTCCCCGGACCGGCTGCTGCACAGGTCTCCCTCCTGTGTGTGGACTCTGTGGCCTGCACGGCACAGCTCAGTGCCTTCCAGGACCACAGCGCAGCCCCATCTTCGCCTGATGGAGCAGAGTCCCTGTCTCTTTGGGTCCTGCCCAGCTCCAACTCTGGAGGGCTTTGTGCTTGGGGATTTGTGTGCTCCGCTGTGCCTCCATGTCATCCTGGGCCACCTCCCATCCCCTTCCCCTCCCTGCCCAAAGAATAGCTGTCCCGAGCCCCGTGCAGTCAGGGCACGCCGGGCAGGGAGTATCAGGGTCAAGGCCTTGCCCACTGGGAGACTTGGGGCCCCCTGGCTGTTCCAAGGCCCTCTCCGCGCCTCTGAGTGGGTCTGCCCTGCCTCCCCGCCTGCCTGCACCTCTGACCGTACACCTGTCCCTCTCCTCAGGTTAGGCCAAAGACTCTGATCCCAGACAGCCTCCCCGTCGCCCCAGGCAGGGACCGGCCACCCAAGCAGCCCCCGACATTCCAGAAGGGCACTGTGGTCAGCATCAAGAACCCCAGCCCAGCCCTCCCCACCGCCAACAACACTGTCAACCATGTGCCAACGCCCGGCAGCCAGCCCCAGGCCCTCGCCGAGCCCACCGCCATCACCTCGCCCCTGAGCGGCGCTGGGGTGGCCTACGCCATCATCTCCACCTCCCCCAGCAATGCCACCTCCATCGCCCCCAGCACCGCCGTGCCCGTGGTCAGTGACAACATCAAAGTGCAGCCCCTCCTCATCAGTGCCGACAGCAAGGTGAGTGCAGCCACTGGAAGGACAGGGCAAGGGCGGCCGTCCCGGAGGAGACAGGTGAGGAGGCCCGGGTGGGGCTACGGACCCGGTGTGCGTTTGAGGGCGTCAGGTAACCGGAAGTGAACGGGTGAGCAGGATAAACGCGCCCCGGCGGAGCGGCAGTGGGCAGCGGGATGAGAGAGTCGCGTCGCGGTACTGATCCGCATCCGGGTGCGTGGACGGGTTCGCACCATTGCAGCTGCAGGGACCAGGACCCTCATCCGTTCTCACCGGCGGCTCACACAGCCTGGGGCTGCTTCACACCCGGTGCCTAGATGGAAAATCCCCGACTCCTTTCTTGCCAGGGTTGAAAACAGAAGCCAGGACCTTCTCCCTTTTCCTCTGGGCTCCTCTCCATGCCCTCGGGCTCGTGTGGCCGCTGCCGCTTCCCCTCTGTGGCCTCGGTTTCCCCAGCCCGGATGTTGGCGCTCCGATCCGCCGTTCCCCCAGCGGGCGGTACCCGGAAGAGTCGTCCTGGGTCAGGATGGGATGGCGGTGACCAGCATGGGGCGCACCTGGGTGCACCCGTGGCCGCGCCCCCACCCCATTTTGTCGGTGCGGACAGACTGCCACACGTGCTGGCTCTGTGACCAGCTCCAGGAGGTTTTTGGCCCCCTTCTTTGGGTTGAAGAACTTAATGTTTTTCTTCCCAGGAACATTAAAAAAGAGCGTCTTGTTTTTCTTCACAGAGAAGTTGATGTTTTGAAAAATGTGATACAAAGAACGAAGCCCTTCCGTTAAGCCCGCCGAAAAACAACCCATTTTCCTCTCTTGGCTTAGAGGCCTGGAATTGCTAAGACAGTCTGCACGTGTTCCGAGGGGAATAAAAAAAGAAACGGAACAGTGGAGGTGCAGCCAGGGACTGGCAGCTGTGTCACCTGGGGCGTCCCTACTTGGGGCCAGGGTAGGACCTGGAGCCCTGTCACCCCAGGCCTGGTGGGGCTGCCCGGCCCCTCTGCCTCCTGACCTCATGGTGTCAGGCAAGGGACGCATTGAGAACCCTTGTACCTCCGTTCACCTGCATTTGGGCTAGGGACAGAGCCCGGCCTGCCTCTCCACCAGTCTCATGCAGACCCTCACGCAGTGGGAAGGGTGTTGGGGAGGATGTTCCTGCTCTGGTCAGAGCAGGGGTGCTGGCTCTGTGCTGCCCCTGCTGGGGTGCACCTGGGCGCCCCCGCCCCGCCTCATGGCCCTCACCCCTCCGCTGCCTCTCCCAGGTCATTATTATCCAGCCTCAAGTCCAGACGCAGCCTGAGAGCTCAGCGGAGCCCCGGCCTCCCACGGAGGAGCCATGTCAGGGAGCTCAGGCCACCAAAAAGAAGAAGGAAGACCGAGCTCTGAGTCAGGAGAACCCCGAGGTAGGGTGACCCCTGCCAAGGGTCCAGGCTCTGGGTTGGGCACGGTGCAGGGTGCGTGGCTGAGCTGTGGGATGGTCTTGGTGGCCTTGGCATAGCTGCCATGCAGGGGAACTGCCATCCGGGACTCCCCCAGTGAGCCTCCTCTCAGCTGTACGTCCCAGGGATGAGTGGGTGTTCTGGCAGGGTGGGGCAGTGGTCAGTGCAGTGCCCAGCCTGTTCCGGTCTGCTGGTGTCCAGCTGTGGGACTGGGGCAGTCACCTGTTTCTTCATCTGTGAATAGAGCATCAAGGCCTCCTTTGTTTAGGGTGTCAGGGGGCTCTAGTTTCAGTAAAGCCCCAGGTCAGGGGCTTCCAAGGACCCCCAGCCCAGGGGGACGATGCTGCCCTCACACGGCCCTGCCTATCCTCTACTGTGGCTGGAGCAGGACTGTGGGTGCCGCGGGAGTCAGCTGCCACCTCAGGCTGGCATCCTGAGGGACCCAAAGACTCTTCCAGAAATCACACACAGTACCCTCCCGTGCCCCGAAGGAGGGAGCCATTGTGACACCCAGCAATGGCCCCTGCAGTTGGGCGCTTCAGCAGCCCAGGGCTCCGGCCGAGGTGTCGCTGTCCTGGTGCTGTGGCCAACGTCCTTTGCCGTCCCGGGCCCAGGCAGCCTGCTCCCCTCCAGGCCGCTCTGCCCTCTGCTCCTCCCCGGCCATCTTCCAGCCTTCTGCTCACCTTCCCCACCTGCCCGTTCTGTCCCAGGGCGCGCGTGACTTCTTGCCCGCACCCTCTGAGACAGGCGGATGTGGTCCTCACCCTAGGGAAGCTCACTTCGGTGGGTGGCAGGTGTGGCCACGAGAGGCTTCAGTGTGAGCTGAGTCGCGTCCAGTGTAGTTGGAGCAGCCGGAGTGGAGGGCCAGCCTTCCTCCTGTGAGGGCCTGGAGGGCGCAGATGGAGACCAGGGAACAGCACAGGCAGGAGGCGGAGGGCACTGTGCTGGCCTCGTGCGGTGGTGGGAAAGGGCCCGGCCCTCCCTGGGGCGTCCACTGGCCTGAGGGTCCTCTGGGTGGATTCTCCTTGTGCTCTCAGAGTGTATCTTAGTCCATTGTCGTGCAGCTTTGGTTAGTATAATTACATCTAACTGTGTAATTAGCATAAATACAGTAGTGACTTCAGCCAAACTTGTAGTTACGACCCGAAGAGTGGTGTGCACAGCCCTGCCCAGTGTCCACCCCGTTAGGGAAGCATCTTGACCCTTGAAGCAGAGCAGCAGTGCCCAGAAACCTCACTGGATGAGCAGATGGGGCCCGGGGTCGCTGGGGAGGCACTGGTGTTTGTAAAGAAAGGGAAATTGCCAGTAGAGAGGCTTCCTGCGTGGGAAGCTGGGCAGCTGGAGAGCATCGGAGAGCCCTGGGAGTAGCCAGGAGCCAGTGGAAGGGAGGAAGGGTCCCCTGGGCTGTTGGTGGCTGCTGGCATTCACAGCCCAGGGAGGTCAGCACCAAAAGAGCTGCGCTGTGCCACGTCAGCATTGTTGTACCAGGTGAGCAAGAGCTCAAGGCTGGTGGTGATACCTTGAAAGCCTCCGCAGGGACCTCCACTGTTAGGACCCTGAAAAGGAGGACAGACGACGATGACAATTGTCAGCAGGCTCAAGCATCAGCCCATGTCTTATTCCCGACCTACATGTGGCTAAGAGTCCATGCTAGCCAGCGATAGAAATCGTACCCATCAGAGCCAGATGTGGCAGCCAGGCGGTCTGATCACGAGCCTGCTGTCCCCACCCACAGCCTTGGGACTGGAGCGCCTCACTTCTGACCACGTGGAGTGGGGCTGAGCACAGCCCTGACCACGCCCCGTGGGAAACCCCCGTTCTGAGTTTCCACTGGCTGCTCCCAGCCCTTCCTCCGAATAAAGATTCTGGATGTACAAGGTTGAGTCTCCATTTCTTGCCAGCCCAGGGGGCTGGAAGGCCGGCCTCTTCCCCTGCCTGAAGCTGAAAGATAAGGAAGCCATCGCAGGAAGCGCCCAGCATGGGCACAGATGCAGCAGAAGAGTCTGCTCATGGAGTCCCTGCCCTGTCCATTTAACCACGGGGCCCGGACAGATTCATGAACTGACCGCTCTTCCCAGCCAAACTGTTAGACCCTGACCCGGATCCCCACTTCCAGAACTCAGGTCACCCCAGTCACACACCTTACAGGACTTGCTCTTCCCGTCTCCACTTTTCGTAAAGTGCTGACTCTTCCCTTTAGAAAGCTGACTGTAGAAAAGAACTGAAATACTTTAACCTCCATCTTGAAAGGACACTCCAGGGACGACAGGAAAGTGGTCTACACCGAGACACACCAGGAACATTCCTGGCTTCTCAGAGACGCAGGAAACACTGTCTTCCAGGCAGAGAAGGAGTAGGGTCTCTTCGAAGGGAAGCAGGGAGGAGGCTGGTTTCTGGCATTTCCACAAGATCGGCTCGGAATGCTGAGGGCAGTGTTCGCTCGGATGCTAAAGGACAGGATCAGGCGCCAGGATGTGACCCTTGGTCCCACCTACGATTGCAGCAGACAGTGGCCCAGGACGGCCTCATCCAGGACAGGGCGCGGGGGCTGAGGTTATGTCCGATGGAAAGCGCCACCCTGTGAGCTCCTCGTGTCGGCCCTTTGCGAGATCAGAACAGGTCAGAGTGGTGTCCTGTAGGGTTTAGATCTGTGCAGGTGGGCTGTGGGAGTGTGTGCCTGGACGTGAGGAGTCGAGAAACCACGGATTACAAAACCCCTGAGCAGCGTCGCTGGAAAGAAGAGGGGAGGACCCGAGAGGGGTGCAGCTCACTGTCGGGTTTGGGGGTTTGCGTTTATTGTGGGCTCACAGGCATTTGCCTTAGTATTAAATAAATGGTAATTAAGAGCAGTGACGGGCCCGGCGGCGTGAGCTGTGTATCTTTAAGTGTACCTGAGATGTGTGCTTTCCCAGCCTTTCGGGGGAGCCCGCCCCTGCTCTGAGGAGCCCCTCTAACTGGCCCCATGGATGGCCTCGGGGAACCTGGCTCCCCAGAACTTTCTTGGCCTCTGGAGCAGTGGTATGGAGGACGGGGCACCCGGAGCCCTAGCCCTGCAGCCGCCTAGGGCAGATGCCTGGTGCAAGTCAGGCAGCAGTCGAAGGCCGCACTGACTCCACTCCTCCCATCCCGCAGAAAATCGCCTTCATGGTAGCACTCGGCCTGGTCACCACGGAGCACCTGGAAGGTAAGGGGTGGGCACTGGCCTGGGGCAGGGACTGTACGATGGCGGATGACCCACTGGCCTCAGCTGGTTTGGGGAGATCTGGGTTAGGGTCGAGGGGTGGCCCTCCTCCCGGGAGCCGTGCCCCAAGCACTGCAGGGGCAGCTGTCCCGGGGACAGGTGGGACTGAGAGGCTCTGTGCTCCGGGGCTGCACGGAACCCACTGCGTCAGTTTCTTCTTTCCATGAAGGGGACTCCTGGGTCCCTGTCCTCACTCTGGAGGTAGCGCAGTGAAGCGACAGGAGTGGACGGGCCTGTCCACTTGTTCCGTTCACTAACCAGGCGAGCAGAAGGTCCGTGCATCCCGTCTCGGTTTGGTGGTCTGTACGATGGGGATCCTGGAGCCGTCCTCTTAGTGTGAAGTGCCAGGAACCCTGCACTGCCCCCTGCTGGGCACCGTGCGGCATGAGCGAGTGCACCTGGCCTGCGGACCTTGGCTCATGCCACACACGCCAGTGGGCATGGGAATGTGGGTTTGTTGGAGCACACAAGCCAGTGTGACTCCGGAGGTGCTATTTGAGTTACTATTGACTCCAGCCAGGAAGCACAGGACCCAGCTCACATGTGGGGAAGGAAGCTGAGGCCAGAAGGCCAATTCACCCGCCCAAGGTCACACAGCCAGCCACTTGTTATCAGGCTGAGGCTGGAACTCAGGTCTCCTGACGCCCCGCCTAAAGTGTTTCCCACCACACCACTTGGCCTGCTAAAGACATTTCATGAAATGAAAATGTCCAGGTGTATCTGGGTGCTGAAAAGTAGAACGGTTTGTGTTTTCTCCTTAAAATCCAGAACAGGTGCACGCCTGTCATCCCAGCACTCTGGGAAGATGAGCCAGGAGGATCGCAAGTTAAAGCCACCCCTGGGCCACTTAGCAAGACCATGGCTTAAAATAAAAAATGAAAAGGGCCTGGAATGTAGCTCAGTGGGAAGGGCCTAGGTTCAGTCCTCAGTAGCATAAAAAATAAATACAAGTGGGACAGGAAGGTATGAACTGAGAGCCTGCTGTGCCCAGCCAGCCTGCCGCCTCTCGTGTAAGGTCAAGTTGGAAACGTGGGGAGGCAGGGACCCAGCCAAGGCCATGCAGCTCACCGAGCCACACAGGGGTCAGAGCAAGCCCTCCCAAGCCCAGCTGAGGCCAGCGTGCTCCCATGAGCCTCCGAGGGAAGAGCCTGTGCCAACCCCAGTGCCCCGCTCCCTGGCAGCAGCTGGACGGTGGAGGTGTTAGGTGCAGAGGGGGTCCCATCTTCCAGATCCCGGCTCACTGACTCGGTAGCCCTGGGTCACCTCTGTGTGCTGGGTAGGAGGGCGTGCTCTGACTTCCTTCTGTATGGGACGTAGTAACTGACATCTGTAACTTCGAGGAGTAGAGGTTCAACTCGGCTCATGGTTTCAGGGGTTTCAGCCCATGGTCAGCTGGCTCCAAGGCAGGAGCAGCAGATCGTAAGCGCATGGTGGAGCAAAGCAGAGCAAGGGGACAGCACCAGAGAGAGAAGCCAGGGAGCAGCTACATGCAGTTTCCAAGGCCACACTCCGTGACCCACTCAGACCCGCCCAGAAGTGTGTGTCATTGATCCCTGGGCAGCTCCAGGCTGACCGAGGTGACAGTTATGCATCCCGCCACGCGGATGCTGTGAACTGGAGCCCAAGGTTCCTCCCGTCCTCAGCTTGTGTTTGAAAACCATTCTGAGACGGACTTTGGAGCATGGAGACCACGTGGGGTAGTGAGAAGAAAGACCTGTGTCCGAGTCCTGCTCGTGACGCTTGCAAGCTGGGTGACCATGGGCGACTCCTTCTCCACTCTGAACCTCCACTTCCTTGTTCCAGCAGAAGGAAAACTGCAGCCCCGCATTGCAGAGGAGGGAGAGACGGTGCTTTCCTAACGTGAGGGGTTGTTTTTATGAATAGTCGTCCTTCTGGACACTTTCCCCACCCCCACGGTCCCGTAAATGTTCACCGCGGCCCCATCTTCTCCTGAGGTGGCCTGTGGTGCCCCAGGAAGCACCCGGCATAATGTCAGAAAGTTTGTAAAGGAGGAACGCTGCAGGAGAGAGAAGGTAGCAGGTCGCCCGCAGAGAGGGCTGCAGGTCCACCCAGCAACAGGAGGGAGAGCAGAGCCTACAGTGTACGCAGCCCATGTTCCAAGGCTCAGGTGAATGTGCCAGGCGCCCACGGAGGCTGCTCGGGGCAGGGGCTCCTGAGTGCCCAGGAGACCACAGCTGGCCCCCATGGGAGCCAGGCCCTTGCTCTGCAGCCAGGCAAGAGGGAGCCAGTGACCAGTGTGTCTGTGCCTTCCAGAAATCCAGAGCAAGCGCCAGGAGCGGAAGAGGAGGAGCACCGCCAACCCCGCCTATAGTGGCCTCCTGGAGACTGAGGTGGGGACTGGGCCGGGATGGAGCTGAGTCCCTGTAGAAGCTGCCCTGGGCAGCGGCGTGGATGGAGCTGCACTGCGTTGGTGCAGGACGGTTCCTGGTTCCCGGGACCCCAGTGTGGGCCTCGTGTGCCGAGCCTGCCTGGCCATAGCTAGAGGGGCTGAGGCCATGGGCAGTGTGGAAAGGTTCTTTAGCCTGTATTCTGATGTGGTGCATCCATCCTCCCTGGGGATGAATGTGGGGAGCTGGCTGGGGCTAGGGCCCCCCGGACTGCCTGAAGCCCACGACTCTGATCTCATAGCTGCCCTGGTTTGTCCTGAGCCTGCTGTCCCCCTGTATGTGCCTCTCAGGAAAGCCTGCATCCCCTTTCTGGGGTGGCACCGGCTAGAGACACATGCTCTGGCCCTACTGCTGCCCCACCCTTACCCCAGGGCCTCTGAAACAGACCAAAGAGGACATTAAAAGTTGACAACCAGGCAAGAAGTGCCCTCCTCACCCAGAGCCCCTCCCGTACTCCATAGTTGGGCTGCCCTTGACATCCAGACAAGGTGGCACCGACTTGGGTGACCCCAGGTTCCTGACTCATGTTGGCTCCTCCCCCTTAGTACAACCCCAGGAGCCCTGAGCCCAAATGAAGTCTTCTTGCCCTTTTGAATCCCAAATTCTTAAATTAGAATCCAGGTGTCTCCGCACATGCCAACCGTGTAGAGTCTGAGCCATAGGCTTCTGTCCTGAGGGAAATGGATTCCAGGAGCCAGGGCGAGAAGGGACAGGGCACCCCAGCTCCTGGGGGATCTGGAGGAAGGTGGAGAAGCCATCACACCCAACTGGGATGTGGGCCCGTCCTGCCTTGCACCAGGCAGCATCGGGTGAACTTGGACCGGGAGGGAGGCTCTCAGGGCATCGGGAGGCCCAGGACGGAGCTGTACCCTAGGTCCAGGAAGGGGCAGCGTCACTGAGGAGAGCTTTGGGACTATGAGTTGTTACTGTGTTTGTGCCCACAGAGGAAGCGGCTTGCCTCCAGCTATCTCAACAACCCCCTGTTCCTCACAGCACGAGGTAAGCGGCAGTCTGGGCTGGGCTCCTGCAGAGCTGTGGGGCCTGGACAGGGCTATGAAAGGCCAGTCTCCCCATGGAGGACCCCGGTTCTGCTGTGCTTGACCCTTTGGATGCTGGGACACTGGGCTGAGTCCTCAGCAAGGTCCCTGGCACTGGCAAGCAGGGATGGCCTGTGGTCTACCAGGGAGTTTCCAGAGGCCCCTCCACCCTCCGCCAGCCTTTCTTGGATGAAGGACCCCAAGGAGCCACATCCGCGAATCCACCATGGAGCGTTTGCTTGTTATTGTCAGCTATAAAAATGTATAAAAGTACCGCTAGGGGCCTGAGAATTTAGCCCAGTGGTTCCACTGCCTGCCTTGCAAGCACAAGGTCTCAAGTTTGATCCACGGCACCAAAAAAAAAAAAAAGTACAGATAGCTAGGACACCTCCCTGGGCCTTGGTTTTCTGGACTCAGAAATGGCCTGCACTTGCCTATACCCCAGAGCCTGTGGCCCTCACTGAGCTGCACTACACTTAACGGTGCAGTTCCTCTTCCTTGGACCTGAGAGGACGGCCGTTTCTGCGGTCACTAAAGTGTGTGCTTTGACACCACGTTCTGGAATGAGGGTGGGTGACAGCCCAAAAGGACCTGAAAATCAGGCACTGAGGGGTCCCTGCAGCGGTGGCACTGGGTAGCTTGCTGTCACCACGCTCCTCCGCGAGCTCAGGCACCGTGGGCCCCAGCCTGTGGTGGGTGCTGGCCGAGCCCTTCGTCCCGTTGTGCCCCACTGGAAGTGCAGTCTTCTGCTTGGCCTCGCAATGCTGCCATCACGCCCTGCGGAGAGGGCTCTGCCGAACCAGGCATTCTGGACCCAGGCTCGCCCTCCGCTCCTCTGTTGCCCACTAACCTGTTCTCGCCCTTTCTCCCTGTGCCAGCCACTGAGGACCCCTGCTGGAAGGTAGGTGCCCAGCTCACTCCTGGGGGAGGGCCGTGTTCTGCACCACGCAGGGAGGTCGCTCCTGGACAGGCCCAGCCTGGAGTAGGGCACAAGGCCTTTGGTGCCTAGAGCTTTGCGTGTCACTGGCCCGCTGCCCTCTTGCCCGGAAGAGCCAGGCATCACCACAGGGAGCCAGCCCTCCCTACCCAGTCCCAAGGGGTCAGGGATCCAGGAGCCACAAAGGTCCTGTTGGAAGCAGCCAGGCTCCCCGAATGACCGTGGGCAGAGTTGGCCCCCTTGGGTCTCTTGCTCACCTCACGGGGCACGGTGGTCCCCAGGGTCTCACCCCATCAGCCCTTGGACTACCCACCTGTGCACACCTGTCCCTGCTCCCCTTGTCTGAGGCGGGTCAGGGCCTGGTGCCCAGGTGTGTCCTCTGTATTGAGCCTATCCGTCACTCAGTTTCTGATCTCATTTAGGATGGGTCTTCAGGGTCCCGCATGGCTCAGCCACTAAATAGGAGAGGCAGTTGGTTCCGGCCCATGCGGGCAGGCCGTGTTGCCTGTACCAGCAGGCCTGACCACTGGCTCACGGATACCTGGTGCCTGGCCCAGGTGGCACAGGACGGGAGAGGGCTCCTGAGCTGGACCCCCGCCATCCTGGGGGGCTTTGGCTTTGGAGCAGGAGACCTGGGTGCTGCTCTGGGCTGCAGCGCTAGCTCACTCTGTGACCCCAGTGCCCTACCCTCCTGGGCCCTGGCTCTGAAATGAGGGCCTTGTGTGAGGTGCTGTGCCCTCCTCCTCCGGGGACGTCTCCAGTGCCCAGCGCCCTGTGGCACCGCCATCTCAGATGGGAGCCCTCTGGGGCCGGAGGCTCTGTTGGCCCGTAGCTTATCTGGGAAGGGTCCTGCTGGTGTCAGAAAGTGGATCAGATCTGTAGGTCAGCGGTCGTGCACGGTTGTGAAGCCGCCATCAGAGAGGCCTTTGGTGCACAACCGCTGGGAGGTGGCGCCTCCCAGGAAGGCGGCCGGTGCCCTGTCCCCACCACAGGGCAGCACAGTGGCAGGGCACTTCACGCCTGTCTCCCATTCAGTCCTGCAGCGACTGTGGAGGTCATCCTCATCTGAGTGCTTGGGCACCGACCTGTGTGTGGCTCACAGGTGTTGGGCCAGGGTAGACTGATGAGCTCTTCAGGGTCCTGGGCAGCTTGGGCCAAGCCACAGCTCCTAGGAACGGACCTGTGCCTGGACGGCTCCTGGGCCACAGTGGAAGGCCATCCCCGTCCTCACACCTGGAGCTCAGGTCGGGACACTGGGGCCACCCTGTGTGGATCCACCCGGTCATTATGACCTGCTTGGTTCCCTGGAGTCCTGGCCTGTGGGTCACCATGCCTGCTGTACGTCACCCTGCAGGACCTCTCCTCCCTGCCCCACCCCTAACCCCAGCCCCTCTTCTCTTCCAGAGCGAGCTTGCGCACGATGAGCTCTGTGCAGCCTGCAGGCGGGGTGCCAACCTGCTGCGCTGCGGATCCTGCCCGGGGGCCTACCACCTCGGCTGCCTGCACCCGCCCCTCAAGACGGCGCCCAAGGGCGGGTGGCTGTGCCCCAAGTGCCAGCAGAAGGTTGGGCATCCTGGGTGGCCCCTACGGTGGGCAGGGCAGGGAGGGCGGAGGGGGGCCGACAGGAGGAGCTGGGGGTTCAGGTGGACTTAACCCTCTGCATGGGGCTTTGTCCTATGAATGGTGGGGTGCTCAGCAACATCCCTGGCCTCTACTTGGGACAGAGACTCAGAAAAATACCGGCTGTGATGCAGCTTTGGTCGCGTCCCCTGGCACAGTTGGGGGGCTGAATCTTAGGCTTGCACAGCCGGGCACACCCCACGGGGCACGGGGCCTGTCTGCCCTCTCATGTCCCCTCTGCCCCCAGGCCTTAAAGAAGGATGAGGGTGTGCCCTGGACCGGCATGCTGGCCATTGTGCACTCCTACGTCAGCCACAAGACAGGTGAGGCGTCCCCTCCCCTGCACCGCGGCCCTGGGGAGGCTGGGTGGGCCGGGCAGGACGGACCGGGACCAGTGCTGGGCGGAGCCTGGCGGCGTTTCCAGTCCCCTGAGGAGGAAGGTTCCGGCTCAGCCCGGTGCCTCCCTGCTGCCCTTGTGTCCTCTTGGCCGCTGCTTACCTGCCCTCTTAGCGGGGCCTGGGCCCCTCTCTCCTAGTCAAAGAAGAGGAAAAGCAGAAGTTGCTGCAGCGAGGCAGTGAGCTGCAGAGCGAGCACCAGCAGCTGGAAGAGCGAGACCGGCAGCTGGCCTTGGCTGTGAAGGTTCGTGCGGACGCGCGTGGGCACCGCCTCGGCTCTCCGCGGGGAGAGATCGGGGCCCGGTCTGCGCCCAGAGTCCCGCAGAAGGCGGACTTGTCGGCGCGGCCCCAGTCTGTGGGTGGAGGACGCGGCTCTGTGACACGTTGGACAGATACTTATCAAGCCATTAGGGGCATCCTGGCTCTGGCCCTTCACGGCTGTGTGACCCTGGCAAGGCCTTGGGCTTCTTCTGAAGTGCACAGAGTCCTCTGGGGAGGTGATGGACAAGTTGGTGAAGGTGGTGGTAGTGCTGATGACGATCCCGGTGTGGAGACGGCCTGCGGTGGGGCTGGCGGTGATGGGCCGCCGACTCTGGTTGTAGGGAGGGTGGCCGTGACTGATGGCTGGTGCTGGTGGTGATGGGGTGGAGCTGCTCGTGGTGGCTGTGGTAACCACCGTGCTGGGCCCTGGAGAGCTTCCTTAACTGCAGTATCTCCCTAGTCCTTAGGAAGAGACTGATTATCCTGTGGTTTGAGAGAAAGCCTCAGGGGGTCGCTGTTTGCCAGCAGCATTCAACCCCAAGCGGCTGGACCTCTGACTCTGGGCCTCGGCGCCCTGTGTTACTTGTCGCTGTGACACACGCGGGCTGGAAGAGCACAGAGCGCTGGCTGGCCAGCCCTCGGGGATGTGGCCCACTGTGAGGGGACGTCCCCTCGCTGCTGCGCAGGTGCACTTCTGGTAGCGAAGGCAAATGCCCCGTGGGCCCGCCGGCCGTTTCCTTCCATGTCTTGCTGCTGTCTGCCTCTCTGTCCTCGGCAGGGGAAGTGGGAGGCTCTGGGAGAAGGGCGGAGAGGAGCTGCCTGGGACCCAGCAGGCTGAATTCTGAGTCCCTCTCCGAACTCTCTCCCCTTGACAGAAATGCCTGGAGCTAAAGACCAGCCTGCTGGCCCGCCAGAGGGGCACCCAGTCCTCGCTGGACCGCCTCCGGGCCCTCCTGAGACTGATACAGGGCCAGCAGATGCTCCAGGTCGCCATGACGACCACGAGCCCCGCCCCACTGCTGGCCGGGCCCTGGACCAAGCCCTCAGCTGCTGCCATGCGCTCCACCCTCCAGCACCCGCAGGACCACAAGTGACCCCAGGGACCTGTCTTTGCGCCCACGGAAAGTTACTGGGACCCTGCTGATGTAACCTCGGGGTTCTGTCGGCCTTAATTCATGAACTGTGAATTTCAGACAAAAAACCAGATAGACCAAGGAGAGGAGGGAGAAGGGGCCCGGTGAGCACCCTAGAGCTGCGACCAGGGGAAGGGTACCCTGCACCTTCCCGGTCCGGGGGACACCCGGAAGCCAGATGCAGTGCGACTGGCACGGGGGCCCTGTCCTTGGCTGTCCGGGGCCTGCCCAGGCTTCCGGCTCTCCACAGCCCCACTCCAAACCCTCAGGAGCGAGGTCAGGATACTGCAGCCCAGCCCCTCCCGGCGCAGTTAGCTGAGTAGTAGGGTAGTTGGGTGGGGCGTGGCAGGGCGGAGGGTAGCAAATGTAGGTAGTCCCCCAGTGCCCGCCCTCGGCCCCCAGGGTCCCACGCCCGCCTTCCCAGACCCCCGCCGCCATCAGTGTTACGAGGTTGAGAAGCAGCTGCTGAACTTGCAGCCAGGAGGCCCTCCGCCACCGCCTCTTGGACTCGCTCTGCTCCCCGTTGATGTGTTTTTCTCGCAGGGTTTCTGGGCGGAATGGAGCTGCTCCCCGGCAGAGCAGGCATTTGGCAGGTTCCGTTTGGGGTTGGATCGTTTCAGCCTACAGTGGGGGCCTTTTATCTTCTGCTTCCCAAGAGCCAATAAGTATTCCAGTCCTCTCTTCTTGCCAGTACAGACACGATGCCAAAAAATAACTCTACATTTTTGTATGGCGTTTTTAGTTGTGAGATATTTAATTGGAAGGGGGCCGCTGCTGCCTTCTCTGCATCCGGTGGTCTCCGCCCTAAGGTGTGAAGGAGAAACCTACCCCTCCGTGGGGGACTGGCCCGCCTGAGAGATCTAGTGGGTTTTTACAGAAGTGGATTCAGAGCGGGAGAGAAAGGACGGGCCGCAGCTGCTGCGCAGCCCGGCCCTCAGGGACCCGAGCGTCCCCTCCTCTCACTGTGTCCCGATGGGCAGAGCTGAGGGTCCCGTGGCCTCTCCCAGGGCTCCCGCTTCCCGGGCGCTGGCCATCAGCCTACCAGCTTGTCCCCTCCCAGGGGACTCAGCACAACCGGCCGAGCGTCCTGGAGCCCAGGGCTCCCCCCAGCATATCACACGGTGCCGAATTGTGTAGGACGTGCGTGGGCGTGTGTGGGCGTGCACACAGCCCAGCCTCAGGCACGCACGCACGCACATGCCTGCCGTGCCGTCCCTCGTCACTTCCACGACTCCGGGAGAAACTGTGCTGTACGATACAGATCTATTTTAATACACTCAACACTGGGTTGAACAAGATTTTTATATTCTTTTATTGATGAACAAAGTGAGCCATGCGAGGCCTGCGTCTTATATATTGGTTACTCTTGATGCCAGTTATGCATTACTGCGAGTCTTGCGATGTAAACGTCTCCAGGTTCCTCTTCTGCTGGTTTGATTTTCTTCTTGGATGGATTGGGTCAGATCTTTTCAAACTGTCAAGGGAGGATATGGAAGGTTGGACCCGGGAGGGGTAGCTGCCGACGTGTCTTGAGACTGTTAGTTTTTTGGGATCAAGGAGGACAGTCCAGTGGATAGTGAGGATAGAGAAAAAGTGTTTCGTCTTAAATATGCCAACGTAGTTTTCCTTCTGTACGATGCATTAAACTTGATGGATGATTTTAAAGCCCTGTGGTGTCTGTGCCTTTGGTGGGGGAGCCCCAGGGAGCGGCCAGAAATCGGGGTCCTCCCCACATCTCACCCAAGAGGGAGGGAGGGAGGCAAGGGACCGCTCGCAGTGCCCCCTCCACGCGGGTCCCCGTGTTCCCCAGAGGTGGCCAGTAAAGCTGTTAGAGCTCAGGGCCCCAGAACACCCCAGGCCATGGCCACGTGGAGCCCTAGCACAGCACGGCCCCTTGATTGTTTTGCTTCTTGGCTTGGCGACATCATCCACCTGCTCTGTGTTCCTGGCCTCAGGGTGCACAGTGCCCCCACCACCACCCTGGGGCTCTCTGGGGCTTGTTCCCAAACCCTTTGAAAGAGCACCCACACCCCAAGTCCAAGTGCCAGGTGCTGCTGCAGGGGCCGCTGGGTCAGGGCCTCTCTAGACCAGCAGCTGTGGCCAGTGGGTCAAAGGCTGTGGTGACTCATGGCCCAGGAGGACCGAACGGGGCAGGACAGCCTTCCCAGCACCCCCCCGGCCATGTCCTGCCACACCGTAGCCCAGGGCCTGGTTCTAGGGGCCGGAGCTCACGTTGCTCCTCCGACCCCTGACTGCAGGGCGCCCAGCTGCCACCCTGAGTGGACTTCACAGCCTCCGTCCAGGCCGCCGGGAGGAGGACGCTTCCCCTCGGGGATAAGCCAAGATCCGCCATGCTGTGTCCTCAGTTCACTCCTGTTCTGTCTCCTGCCAACCGCCCCTTCTCTGCTCCCCAAACTGCCCGAATGGACATCAGTCCTGACTGCGGGGCATCCTGGTCAAGCCCTGGGCGCTCAGGACCACGTGACACGTTGGCACCCACTCCTGCAGCAGCTCCTCCTCCTAGGCCCCTGGCCCGGCTCCTCCCCTTCCGCCTGCTCACCCAGCCCTGGGACCCAGGCCTGTTCGCCGGACTCCGCTCGCTGCCGAACTCCGTTGCCGAGCTGGGTGGCCCACGGTTGACCACGGCCTCGCATTCG